GGAAAGGAAAGGAAAGGAAAGGAAAGGAAAGGAAAGGAAAGGAAAGGAAAGGAAAGGAAAGGAAAGGAAAGGAAAGGAAAGGAAAGGAAAGGAAAGGAAAGGAAAGGAAAGGAAAGGAAAGGAAAGGAAAGGAAAGGAAAGGAAAGGAAAGGAAAGGAAAGGAAAGGAAAGGAAAGGAAAGGAAAGGAAAGGAAACAGTATAAAATAACAAATCAAGAAGGAACGGAACGGAACGGAACGGAACGGAATGGAAAGGAAAGGAAAGGAAAGGAAAGGAAAGGAAACAGTGTAAAATAACAAATCAAGAAGGAACGGAACGGAACGGAATGGAAAGGAAAGGAAACAGGGTAAAATAACAAATCAAGAAGGAACGGAACGGAACGGAATGGAAAGGAAAGGAAACAGGGTAAAATAACAAATCAAGAAGGAACGGAACGGAACGGAATGGAAAGGAAAGGAAAGGAACTGAAAGGAAAAGAATAATCCTATAACAGTAAATGCCTGATTTGTTCATGCTGCAATGCATGCTGGGAACTCGAAAAACCTTAATGTTTCAGCAGTATTGTTCAGTTTGAAAATCTTTGTTTAGATAACTGTTTGACTAGTTTGGGACAACATTTAAGGGAATTATGATGATCTAACATGGGCTTTTAATGTAGTTTCAATAATTCACATTTCTTAGTATTTATGACTCAAAATGTTGCTTTTTTACAGAGTAAGCTTCAGGTGCAAATAGGGGGGAAAAACTCAAAATTTTTAATGACATCTCAGACTTTTATGAGCGTGTGTTTTACCTTGTCTGTGGAAGAGTTTGCTGCCCACTATCTCAGTCATGGACGCCACTTTCTGTTTCTTTAGTTTATCCGGAGGAATGCAGATGTAGAAATCATACAACAGCTTACTGCAAACAGACAGACAGAAAAGTACATGGCATTAAAAAAAGTAAATGGGATCAATTTTGATTTCATGTTGACATGAAAATGTAAAAGAGCTTTAATTTATGCACTTAATGTCTCACTGGCAGTCAGTTTTGTGGTATTTTGAAAGTCAGCTAATCCGTTTTTGCACAACAGTGCAAAAGTGTCAGTTTGTACTGTATTTCTGTAGTAACACTTTATCCATAGTCTTTAATAAAAGATTTAAAAAAATAGCAGAAATGAAACCATAAATAAATGCAGAGGCTGCTGTGGGCAGAGAAAGTGACCTGTGATTTATTGATTGAGTCTGAACACCACCAGGGTCTGTGAGAAACTACTGTATCATATCGACCTTCACAGAGCCGTTAGAATCGCCTGTGTTTTGTGTACTGTGATGAATTGGACGCCACTTGAAGCTAAACACACACACTCCCCAATCTAACTAGATAAAAACACTCAAACTAAACTATCCATATGAGAGAAACTCACTCCACTGTTTCTCAAACGCATTAAAAACTCAAGTCGAGACATCAGACATCGGCCTCAGTTAACCGCATGAGCAGCTAAACTAGTTAAAGCCACATTACGGTTATAATAGCATTAGCTTTTGAGTAGATCAGGTAAATGTAGGAGGACAAGTGCATTAAAGACCATCAGCTTCAGAGTGAAGGAGAGCCTGTGTGTTTGTGGTGATTGATTGCTGCAGTTAGTGACGTCACAAACTTGATGTTGGTCATTAAAGTGTCATCAAGCACTTGTAGAAACTGTTGCTGTAAGTACCACAGTACATCAGTTCAGCCCAGACCGATCAGGTGTGTTTTCGAGATTTTAGGCTCTTATGAGACTCACCTGAGGAGTTTAGCATCGAACACGGTCTCCACATCTTGCAGGACTGTGGGCAAGTACTTCAGAGCGGCCACCTATACAAACACATTCATATAAAACGTTATAGGTTTAAAATATATATTAATATAAATAAAACATTTTTAAAAATCATATATAAAACATTTGAAATAATTAGATGTACTTTTTTATATAATGTTATATAATTTAAAAAACTATGAATAATTAATTTATTAATAATTTAGTTTAAAAATTCATTGTAAAATAATTTTTATATTTCAGTATTATTTATTGTAATATTTAATATACATACACAAATCAAAATATATAATTTATATATATATATATATATATATATATAATATATGCAAATAATATATATATAAGTATATATAGACATTAGGCTACCTCTTAAGCCTTTTAGTCGCTTACAGTAACGTAAAAAAAAAAAAAGAGATCTTGGTGCCAAACAATCCCCAAACAACTGTCAATATTAAGCATAAATATTATATTTCATTTAAAGATCATGGGTTCGATTGCCAGCAAACTGAACATGCATGAACTGATAAAAATTCTTCTGATAAAAGCATCTGCCAAATGCATATATGTAAATGACCTCAAATTTTGTACGTGCATTCCACAACATTAAAGTGTGGATGCTTTGCAGGCATTTTCATTACATTATATGAGAAAAAAAGTCACACAAAAAATAAATAAATAAATTGGGTTAACCAGTATTTCCAATAACTCAAAAATTGAAATGGGTCAAATTGACACCCAAGTTTCCCAACATAAGGGCTGGTAATTGCTTCAAAACAGTTTAGGTCAATTCAAATCTATTAATTTTCTGTTTTAAAAAAATCGTAGTCAAAATTATTGAAAAAAAAAAAAAAGGAGCAGTTGGGGTTCGGTGCCTTGCTCAAGGGCACCTCAGTCATGGTATTGAAGGTGGGAGAGAGCGTTGTACATTCACTCCCCCCACCTACAATCCCTGCCGGACCTGAGACTCGAACTCACAACCTTTGGGTCCGACTCTCTAACCATTAGGCCACGACTTCCCCAAATAGATGTATACTATAAATTACTACATTATGTGAAAAAATTAATGATGTAAAATTAATTTTTAAAACACAAATATGTGATATGATGTGAAATGAAGAATTATTTCAGATTCTACACTATTTCTGTCATTAATCAACACAGCTAATTTGTGACACTTTTCATGTGACTCCATTGTACTGACAGCTGAGTGAACAGAACCTAGTGATCTCTTAATGTGCGAATTATATACATTAAAACTGAATTAAACTTAGTAATAAGTAATCATGTGTATAGTAGTATGGCACTAGCATTCATACCTGCTGCAGTAGTGTAGTGGTGTAGTCACTTTTCATCAGGTTATTGATCGACTCAAATAAACTTTTGAGAGATTCTTCAAACTCGGCCTGTTCCTTCCCTTCGTACAGTCTAATGAGAGAGAAAGAACACTTGTGAGCAGTGTAATACATTTCACATATCCATCATCACACATTCACACACTTATACATACGATCATTTCATCATATAAACTACACTACACAGTATGACGCTTCTATTTCTAGCCACTTTATTTTCCTTTGTTTATGTTTTTATAAAAAAAATTTTTTATGTTTTTTAAAAGTCACTATAACCAGCAGCGATTAAATGTATGAACAGTGCATGACATGGAAGAGAGATTTAACTGCTTGAGGCTTTATTGCAATGCATCTGGCCAGGACAATAAAAACGGGGATGAGTCAAGAAAGTTTGTGGGTCACTTATGACACTAAAGTCAATGTAAGAGCTTTCAGATGACAGACGCTGTGGATTGTGACAGTGACTTTGACTGAAACTTCAATCACATTTTAGACACAGTCTGGTTTATCTCTCTGTCAAGAGTAACTCGGCACAGATGTTATAGTCGGTGGGGTTTCTGAGGGTGGAGATTATGCTGTAACACACGACAGTATTTACCGTGGTACCGCTGAAGAACAGACGTGATTACTGAAGCATTGTTCCTCTAATCCACATGAGAGCCACAGTTAATACGCCACCTCTGACCTCACACAATAACACACACACACACTACAATAAACACACACATGCTCACAAAACAAAGATGCATATATACTGACATTGAGACAAACAGATGTACATTTCCTAGAATCAATAAATCTTCCCAAAAACGCACATGCATGCAAACTGACACACTTCATCCTCAACAAAATCACTTAAAAATCAGGGCTGAATGCAATATAAACATCAAATCTGATTGGTTCTGAAATGCTGGTTAGGCTGCAGTGTTATTTTAGTTTTGAGATCACAAGCTGCTTTGTGTATTTCATTCATTTAAAAGCACAATTGTATGTACATTAAATTTAAGTGAAAATAAATAGTAAAACCGAACTAAAACTGAAATTAAAATTAATTAAACCCAAAGAGTAATATTTAAAAAAAAAACATAATAAAAATAACAAAAAAATCACATAAAAGTAAAATTAGAATTGAAAATATATATTTTTATATAAAGCATATAAATATTTTAGAAACATAAATAGTATTGTTTTAGTTTTGAGAACACAAGCTGCTTTGATGTAACAGCCAAAAGTTATTTGAAAATATAACAAATAAAAATGTCATTAACCAAATTCAAAAAGATCCTTTATCCTTTTTTTAGTATTTATTTATGTATTTTATTTTATTTTATTATTTTTAATCATTAGCCTTACATCAACTCATAAACCCCAGTTTGAGAAAGCCTGCACTAGTGGAAGGACGACATGAATCAATTTGATTCAGATGATTCAATTGTTTTAATGAACATTTTGATTCCTAAAACAAAGCTAAATTAATAAATCTGGCTGATTTAACCTTTCAAAACACAATAAAAAACAATAATTAAAGCGGAAGAGCAAATACTATGATCTATGCGAAGGAACTAAAATGACTGTTTTAAAGCATCTGTTTTCTAAGCATTTAAAATCATCTTAGAGGAAAAGCTCCCCAAATTCAAGCTAAATAATAAATATTTCATGAACAATTTGGGGTAATTTTCCCATTCATTTCCTCTTTTCGATTATTTAATGTAAAGAATTTATTCAATTTCCAGAGCATGCACCAAACCCAGGCGTTCTCACACCCACATGGTGAAACATCTCTTCTCTCTGGGAATATAACATCTGCGGTTTAATCTGGATGTATCAGAGAGTTATTTTAAAAGCATAGAGCAATGACGCTTTCCATCAAACTCCATTAACAGAGTGAAGCGCCTCCTGCCAGGACTGAATCCAGAGCAAAAACACTCCTGCTGAGAGCTTTCGGACTAATAAACACTGAAAAATTATCCGGCCGTGATGGGCCTGCATTTCTAAAGATGTTAGTGTGCATCAGCGTACTGCAGTAAGAGCGAAAGAAAGAAAGAAGTTAAAGCCTTTGCCTTAGAAATTTAAGCCAAATTCAAAAAAAAAATTTAAATCAATAAATAAATATTATTTAAATGTAATTTTTACTATTTAAATATTTGCATATACAAACAAATATGCACAAAAATACTAATAAAATGGATTAAAATTGCATTAATAAAATGAACACAATGCAATGTGCTAGATTTGACTTATATGGTACCATTTTTTATTTGACTCAATCTGGTCCGATAACTGGATGATAACAGTCACAGCCACTTGCTGAATTAAATGCAATGAGGGCATTTGACAATTCAGTTAGTATACAACTGTTTGAAATGCTACATACTGCATACTCTCTGCATTTATAGATTTGTTAGCATGCATTGACGTACTGCAATAAAAAAGACTAGTTGAGAGAGAAAGCTTAAGAAAGAAAGATAATATTTTAAGCCAAAATAAATAATTCAAATTTAAAATATTAAAATAAATATGCAAATAAATACTTTGCATAAATAAAATTAAGTTAATTGTGGTGTGTAATTAAAGCATTTATTGTGGTCATATGCTGCTTGCAGTGTGACTGATCTGTCGCTCTCTCTTGTCGGTCAGTACTGCAACCACACACACACTCATTAAGATTCATTTAGCAGCTGTTTTGGCATCAATGACTATTAGGCAAATTAATGATGCAGTCAGCTGCTACACAAACTTGATGGCTAAACACACTGTACAACACACACAGAGTTTGTGAACGGCAGACGCTTCTAGCATCACAATCTAGTATGTAGTTGCATTGAAAAGTGTGCCAGAACATTCAAAACCCCACGCAAGTACACAAAAGACATTATAACAAGCATTAGAGTAAATATAACTACTGTACTTCTACAGTCAGTTTTCTCTGTCAGCTCAACTAACTTGACAGCGGAGCAACACATTGAAGAGAATCTTGCTGAGCAAGTTAAAGTTAGTTAAACAGCTGACATGATTATATCAGCTACACACTTTAAAGGAATAGTTCACCCAAAAACTGCTGAAATGTACTCACCACCCCCAGGCCAACCAAGATGTACAGTAGATGAGTTTGTTTCTTCATAATAGATTGTGAGAAATTAGCATCACATCACTTGCTCACCAATGGATCCTCTGCAGTGAATGGGTGCCGTCAGAATGAGAGTCCAAACAGCTGATACAAACATCAGAATGCTACACAAGTAATCAACACGACTCCAGTCCATCAATTATTGTCTTGTGAAGTGAAAAGCTGTGTGTTTGTAAGAAACAAATCAGTCATTGAGATGTTTTTAACTTCAAACCGTCGCTTCAGGGCAAAATCCATAATCCATAACTTTGCTTCCTCCAGTGAAAAAGTCCATCCTCTGTTGTCCTCTCACATCAATATCCACCCACATATTTGTTTAAAACCATTTTTCACTTTTTTTTCCTTTATTTAAAAAAGGTTAATTTTTTGGCGTTTTTGCTTTTATTTTTCTTAGGACAGTGTTTAGACAGGAAGCAAAGTGAGAGAGAAAGAGAGTCGGGACAGGATTGGGAAAGGTCTGCGAGCCGGGACTCGAACTCGGGACGCCCTATGCGCAATGGTGCTATATGTCGACACGCTGCCCACGAGGCTATTGGCAACAACAGACTCTTATTCTGACGGCACCCATTCACTGCAGAGGATCCATTGGTGAGCAAGTGACGAACAGTAAAGTGATGTTTCTCCAGATCTGTTCAGATAAAGAAACTAACTCATCGACATGTTGGATGGCCTGAGGGTGAGTACATTTCCAATAAATTTTCATTTAAGTATGTAAGGGGATGCGCAATTGGCCAAGCTCTGTTGTGTGTGTGTTTGCATACTTGACTGTATGAACCTGTCAGAGGAACAGCACTGGCAGTGTGAATGAGCATCAGCTACAGTCTGTGTTTCTGCAGTGCCGCTCGATGACGGCATCCGGGGGCCCCACAGGCAGAGTCATAAATCACAGACAGACACGGGCCCTTAATGACCGTCAGGCAGAGCTGTTACACTCCTCGACAAAACGCTGCAGACAAAACGTGCTGCAGGCGGCCAGAGGACATGCAACCCTGTCAAAAACCCTAAAAAAACGACGTGCTGCCTTAAAAATGTCCGCTTGAATCTCAGCCCAAAGCAGCTGGCCGTTTATTTCCTTGTGTTTTGTTTTGCTTTCAGCCCACGTTCAGCTGAATGAACTGTCTCAGAATAGAGGACTAGCATACTACTCAAAACAACTCTTTCAAATGTTTTTTTGTTGTTTTGAGAACATGTCTAGCTCACATTTCAAGCCGAATTCAAGAGGAAAAATGATAAATATTTTGCATTAAAAAACAGTGTATCCTGCAGTGCAGTGCATTAGATTTGACCTTCCAGAGTGTCAAAAATGAAAATATGAATTGTAATTGGCTGTTTTGATAGAACAGTCAGAAAATATTACATATAATAGGAGTAAAAATGCAAATAAAAATGGATAATAAGATAATAAGTGAATGACAAAGTAATGTGACAATGTTGTCGGTATACACTACCATTCAAAAGTTTGGGGACAGTAAGTTATGTTGTTGTTTTTAAAGATTTTCTTTTATTGTATGCCTGTTTCCACAAAAATATGAAGCAGCACAACTGTTTTCAACTTTAATAATAATAATAAGAAATGTTTCTTAAGCAGTAAATCAGCATATTAGAATGACTCGGCCAAATATTGTCCTATCCTAACAAACCATACATCAATGGAAAGCTTATTTATTCAGATTGCAGATGATATATAAATCTCAATTTCAAAAAATTGACCCTTATGACTGGTTTTGTGGTCCAGGGTCACACACAGATATAATATATATTTTTTTTAATTATATAGATTTATTTTAATATATTGCCACTACTATTTTCTGAAAATAAAAAAAAATAAAAATAAACATTGAATACAAGTAGCTTTTTCATCATAGCAGATGCAATACCAGAAATATTGAATATTGTTTTGGACAGTGTGGGGCCTTGTTGTCAAAAAGGTTGAGAATCACTGAATTATAATTTGCATAATGCATAATTTTGTGTTTAAAACTGAATATGGCATACACCTATTGCATCCTCCTGTTATCTTTTATTGTTTTATATTCTCCTGGTTTATAATTTTGGGACTAGAATCTGTCACCAGAAGTGAGCTAAATAGGACAAAACCTTCCTATGGGGACATCAGGGGAAGTGCTCATTTGGGAAAAAAAAAAAAAGATTCATAAGTGAGTAAACAATGTTTTTTAAGGTTTCTTTCAGGGTTTGGATTAGTCAACATTTTAATTAGCTTCATATAAACACAACAGAAGTCTCTGAACTGGCCCCAGTTAGCAACTGTCATCAGTGGTTCTATAAAGAACCTTTAAAATCCATGGAATCTTTCCATTCCACAAAAGGATCTTTATATTTTTTAAAATGTTCTTCACACTGAGAAAAAATGGTTCTTTTAAGTACTGACTATAGAACCAGAAAATCTGAGCATATCACACCAGTCCTCAGGTCCTTACACTGGCTTCCAGTTATATTTAGGATTGATTTTAAAGTATTTTTACTCGTTTATAAATCACTCAATGGCCTAGGACCTAAATACATAGCAGATATGTTCACTGAATATAAACCTAACAGACCACTCAGATCACTAGGATCGAGTCAGTTAAAAATACCAAGGGTTCACACAAAACAAGGGAAATCTGCTTTTAGTTATTATGCCGCTCGCAGTTGGAATCAGCTTCCAGAAGAGATCAGATGTGCTAAAACATTAGTCACATTTAAATGCAGACTCAAAACTCATCTGTTTAGCTGTGCATTCATTGAATGAGCACTGTGCGATGTCCGAACTGATTGCACTATATTTTATGTATAATCATTTTCTATTCTTAACTGTTTTAAATTAATTTTAAACCTCTTAAATTAATTTTTAAATCATGTTCAAAGTTTTTAAATTCCTTGTTTTATTGTTGTGATTATTTATTTATTATTATTTTCTTTTCTTTTATGTAAAGCACTTTGAATTACCATTGTGTATGAAATGTGCTATATAAATAAACTTGCCTTGCCTTGCCTTGCCTACTGTTCACTAAAATGTTCTTTAGGGAACCAAACATGGTTCTTCTGCGACATTTCTGCAAAAACACCAATTTGGAACCTGTGTAGATGTGTGTGTATGTTTGGATGTTGCTTACCAAAGCGTCAAAAACCAAAATATCATAATCATCAGTCTGAGAATGTTCCATCATGATGTTGAACAGGGCGTCCAAGGTGTCCTGCAGGAACTACACACACACACACGTAAACAAACATGCATCCTGAACAACTGATGCTCATGTATAATTTCAGTGCAACACACCTTCACGACCTCCTCCCCGTCAATGAGTTTGAGCTCCTGTAGGTTTTGTTTCAGCATTTCAGGACGAGTTCTCCACTTCAGCAGACCCAACAAACCCACTGAGAGACAGACAGACAGACAGAGACAGTGTGTCCTCAACTGACTCTTAATTACCATGTATTCCTGAATCTATTTATTTCACGTGGTGAATATGTCCCGTGTGTGGGTTCGTTAGGGTTGCATTGTGATGGATGTTTCCGGAAGATTCATTAGCGTGATTAACAGGCTTTCTCAAGAACAGCTGTTACAGTACACCTGCGTCTGTGTGTGTGTCCTTAAAGGGGCTTCGAGATAAAAGTAATTTAACAATAACACACACACACACAAATACAAAAACAATTGAAATATTTAGATTTAACCCTACAGTATCATGTTTGACACATTAATTTCCAAGGCCTCTAATTTCTCAAGACCTGTTGCACACAATCTGCTACATGCCTTCTGTGGTCTGATTGATAATTTAGACTTTTTTAGCAAGTAAAATATCTTTGAGTATAATTGTACAAACGTCCACCTTCAGCTCGTGCTTCACATGTCTTTTTGCTGTCGAATCTTTATTGATTTTTATAAAGTAAACATAAGAATAACTTTGATATTTTTAGTAATAGTTCAAGATGAACACTTACTGGACTGAAGCAGCTTAGCTTTATCTAATTATCCATTATGTATTGTGTTGCATTATGTGTTTTGCTCATCAAACCAAGCATCACCTTACTAAGACATATTGGAGATATAGAGTGACGACTGATATTTATATCATTTCATGTAAATATCTGCTATTCTGTTATAAAAATCTGATTGATTTACATTAAAAGCATCAGAATTTCATCTTACATTTTGTCCATATAAATATCAGCATCTGCACCAAATTGCACATTTTTGCTCAGTTTGCGGCTCTGTTTTTTCCTCCATATTTTCACTATATCAGACTATATGAGCCATAAAACCTGATGTATCAAATATGATACTCAACAAAAAAACAAATATGCATTTTTTTTTTCAATAAACTTGAATTTTTTGGATTTTTTTCAGACTACTATTTCATATGTCAGGCTTTACAGGGTTAATATATAAATAATTAAACTGACTACATTTACTTTCTTAACAATAACACAATCCTGATCTCATTGTGAGTCTGCGCACATTATCCGGAAAATTGTTTGTCTTGCACTCTTTTATCAGAATGCAATAACCTGCTTTCCTCTGAAATGACTCCTTTTCAGCTGATGTCATCGAGACCTCTTATTTTTCAGCCTCCTGTCGTGTAGAGACGCTTTTCATCACCTAATGTATAAAATGTCACCCTACATGTTTTTCCTCTCTGAATATCCTTTCTCACTTGGAAATTCACTGCATTACAGAAGTGAAATGGACTGTGAATGTCGTCTCATTTCGACTATAAAAGCTACATGAGACTCTTTTCACACACACCGTTCTGCGTGAGTTTGGTGGAGCAGACGAGCGTTGAGATGGTGAAGATGTCTCTGGAGCTGACGGACAGGCCGCCCACACTGCTGGAGCTGCGCATCAGCGTTGACCCCTTGTGGCTGTCAGAGTGACTGCGCTCGGACGGCAGGGATAGATACGAGCTGACGTCCTCCATGCGCTTACTGTCACCCTGCAGAAAGACACAAAAGACATGCAGGACGTTCTGTCCATATCTGTTTGTGAATGTGTGAATGAACTGATTAGCTTACCTGTCATCCACCATATTATCAGACATAAGTGTTTACTGATTTGTAAAGTCTACACTGCAACTGATTTTCTTACTCTGTATTTTTGCCTTGTTTTCCAGTATAAATATCTAAACATTCTTAAATCAAGATAAAATTACTTGCGAAACAAAATGACTTAAGATATTAAGTCTTGTTTCCTAAAAAAAAAAAAATCAAAAATATGCTTGAAACAAGACAAAATATGTTAATGTGGCACAAAAAATAGAGCTGATAGTAACTAACTAACAATTGTGTTCACTTATATAAATGTTGTAATAGTAAATATGAGGTTTGTGCTACTGTACTTTTAAGATTTGAATGTATAAATGACTTATAATTTGTAAACGTCATATTGGTTGTACATATTATTAAATGAGGCTTCTCTCTTTTAACTTAATCCTAACTTAACTTAATTAATTAAGAATTCTTAAATGACATTTTTTAATCTACTGCATCTTTTAACTAAAATAATTGTTTAAAAATAAATGGCAGATAAAAATGCTTCAATGTCACAGTCCACTCCAAAAACCCATGTAAAAATCTAAAATATGCTTGAAACAAGACAAAATATGTTAATGTGGCACAAAAATAAACTTAATTAAAAGGGAAAACAAAATGATATTTTGTTATTTTATTATCTTTTGTTTTCCCACTGACAGACTTTTTTTTTCTTTAAGAATAAACTCACCTAATTTTTAACATGTTTCCAAAAACAAGACATAATATCCTAATGTCTGTCATTTTCCTTCGCCAGTAAATATATCTTGATTTAAAAATGTTTCGATATTTGTGCTGAAAAACAAGACAAAAATACTAAGTAAAACCATTGTTGCAGTGTATGGAGGATCTTTGTATTTGGTTAGTTTTAAACTTAAATTTAAAGAGTATAAAACCTAAAGAACATTCATTTCTTTATTACATTCAAGTAATTTCTTTATATTTTTTAAGTTTTTTATTTGCATATTTTTATAGCACAGTATGGAGAGAACTAGAGAAGAGAATGGTTTTGGCAAATATTATTATATTATTTTATATATATATATATATATATATATATATATATATATAGGTTTGTGCTACTGTACTTTTAAGATTTGAATGTATAAATGACTTATAATTTGTAAACGTCATATTGGTTGTACATATTATTAAATGAGGCTTCTCTCTTTTAACTTAATCCTAACTTAACTTAATTAATTAAGAATTCTTAAATGACATTTTTTAATCTACTGCATCTTTTAACTAAAATAATTGTTTAAAAATAAATGGCAGATAAAAATGCTTCAATGTCACAGTCCACTCCAAAAACCCATGTAAAAATTTTACTAAATCTATTTCCACTCATTTCTGGCCTCATTGTGTATGTAGAGTATGTGTTTCTGACCTTAAAGACGGTGAGCTCATGTATGCCATCTCTCAGAACGGTCCCGTCTTCCTTCATCAGACGCACAAACGCCATCGCAAAGTTCTTTTCACTCTTGTCCTTCGCTGCACAACACAAATTACACATTACATTCATATCTGAATTCCTTTCCACTAACATCCAGCATCATATTTGGTAGTATATGACAGACTGGATATCAAGAGCCTAAATTAGAGTTCTGTGGCTTTTAATGCATGCTATAATTTAATAGCTTTCAGCTCATCTCTATGCCAGTGCACATAAAATACAAACGCTGATGGCTCATGATGTGTCATGAGTTTTGTCCGGTCACATGCTTTCTAGAATGAGGGTTTAGAAACAAACGTGTTGTTTTTCAATCAGTTGAACTCTGGATCTGATTTTAATTGTTGTTGTTTTTTTTAGATTGGGCCAGAATCCCAGTCTGCGTACAACTACATTAGCATGCACTGCAAAACTGCTGATTGTAAAGTATATACTTTTGAATATGTGGCGAGACAGTACACAGTACTGGGACATACTACCAAGTCATACAATTTTAAAATTATGACTTGATGTCACATTATTTTATGCTGTCTGCTCACTGGTGTCTTCACATATTTAAAAAAAACTGTAGTTCATGACTGCAGGAGACACTAAAGCTGCTAAACTTACACTCCTGTGAGGATCGATGACGGAACATGAAGCGCAGGTGGATTCTGGGCATCTCCTCCAGAGGAATCGCCACCTACAGGCCAGAGGAAAACATTACTGCATGCAGACTGAAAACTGGGCCGGATACAAAAGGATTAGACTCAACATCAAATGATCTGCTTTCAAAATGTATGTTCCAATTGTGAACAATTAAGCTCTTATTATGGTGCTTTTATTTTCAAACGCTCCCCTCCAAATCACCTGACTCCATAAATGTATAATGGATGGATAAAATTGTTAAATGCATAAAATATATGGACAAAATCAAGTCATGTTTTTTTGTTAAACATCATGTTTCACCTAAAAATGTGTAATATGTTGGAAGAAAAATGAGCTGTCAGGGCTGTTTGACATGCACACGCACAGAAGTGGTGCTCAAGCACCTTTTTTTATTTGGCCTCTGACTAGATAAGTGCTCTTTTTCCAAGACATTTATTTTTCCTTTTTTATTTTATATTTTAGTTTGGCCCATGGCATCAGTTCTCAAAGGGTGTGCCCGACAACTGACAAGCATTTTTAAATGAATTGGGTGAGACATTGATTCAATGAATGATTCAATGATTCATAAAGACAGTGGTCACTTGATTTGTTCATGAATGAATCAGTCGCTTTCATTGAATCTGTCGCTTTCATTTATTAACACTTGCTGCCACCTATTGGCGGTTTTTACAATAGAGTAAAGATACAAATAAAATAAACAGTGCTTTTCAGGTTTTTTTTAGGTAGGTCTAACAGTTTTTAGGTGCAGAAATTGAATAAAGTAATGAAATGTAAAACAGCATTACATATTTGACTGTATAAATTAAAGATTAATCTTTATTAAAGTTACAAAAGCAACTCAATCAAGAGCAGTGAGTGATTTCTTTTGTTGTTGCTGTTTGATTAGAGAATGCACTGATCCAGTGCACTGATACAGTACGTTCGGTACGGGTGATGACGGAATAAATGCTCATCATATTCCAGCATACGGCATTCGCATTGAACAAGAGTGAATGGTTTGTCCACGTTTTTTTTTCATCACTGTTGTTATAATGTATGGGGAAGCCAGAATCCGCATTCTGCACAACTCTGTATACATTTGATTGATTTTAATAACTTGAATGTACTTGAATTGTGCAGCAAACACTAGGAATATATAAGTATCAGATCGGGACACTGTATCTGCAGATACTCAATATTCAATGACTCGGATTGGATCGGGGGTGCAAAAGACCTGATCGGGACATCCCTTATATATATATGTGTATACATAGATACATACATATACATATATATATATGCTTATGTGCCAGATCTGCAGTGCAAAAATGGATTTTGTTGAACTAATTCACTGACTGATTGGTAGTAGGCTCAATGTTTCACTCACTTCTTACCTTAAAAGTTTCCATCCAGCGAGGTTGTTTGATCTGGTAGTAAATGACTGATCTATATTCATTTACAGGCCGATCTCCAGCTCCCAGACAGATTGAGTTCTGTACAATAACACAAAAGAGCTGTCAATCAACACAGAAAGCCCCATCCCAGTGAGATCAGGCTGACCTTTGGCCTCACGGTCAGGGGTCACACTCACCGGCACAACCTTCCCCTCCTCGTCACACACCAGCATAATGACCTCCACGTTCTTCTGTGTGGTTTTGTTGTACTTGTCGAAGTCTCCGGAGTGCAGCGTGAGGTAGATGTCGTTGCGGATGTCACCCGGCATGATGATCTCAGGAAAACCCAGTTTTCGCGCAACCACGGTGCTCCGGTCCACCAGGTGGGGATATTCCTTTCGGATCTGGACGATGTCTCCCACTAGAGCTTTCATGGTGACCCACAGACCTGACATGGAGTTTAATGTTTTATATTAGTTTCACCATCAGGATCATGACAGGAATGCAAGGAATTTCTCTACAATGAAACTTATGTGTCTAGACATATAGAATGATTTCAAAATATTCTTTAGAGAAGCATATGAATTATAGCAGATGCATATGGTGGATGAATAAGGTAAAATAACACCATAAATTAAGTTTGAACTGTTTTTGTTCATCCTTTCCCCCTCGTCTCATTCTCTAATGTCTGTTTTAATGGCAGTCATAAAGCTCAACCATCTCTCATCACTCAATCACTCTGTTCTGCTGTATTGTGTCTCTGTGTGTGAGTGTGGGCAGGCGGGATTATGGGTCCAGCAAGTGTTAAAGCATTAGCGGAGCGAGCGGTGATGCTGTGCCTCATTTGAGCACAGATAACTGCTCTGAGCCGTACCTTGACCTCCGCTGTCACCTCGCGACGTTGTTACTTTGTTGAGGAGAGTGTGAAGAAAGTCATTCTCAGCTATAACCCTACAAACACACACATACACAGAAACAGAGAAAAAAAGTAATAAAAATAATTACTTTAAATATTAACATGAATAAATATTATGCATTTATTTAATGGATACATTCAGAAATATATATACAGTATATATATATATATATATATAGAGAGAGAGAGAGAGAGAGACAATAAATTTGACTTTTTAATGCCATATTTATGACTTTTTAATCTCATAATTTGAGTTGAAATTTCCCTCATTTCCCTTGTATCATGAATTAGATTTTTTTTAGGTCATATTTATGACTTTTTCTCATAAAATGTTGATTTTGACTTATCTCATAATTTTGATTTTTGTCATACTGTAATTTTGACTTTTATCTCATAATTATTTTATTTTGTGTGTGTGTGTGTGTGTGTGTGTGTGAAAATATGGTAAAATCATAACAGTATATATATATATATAGAGAGAGAGAGAGAGAGAGACAATAAATTTGACTTTTTCATGCCATATTTATGACTTTTTAATCTCATAATTTGAGTTGAAATTTCCCTCATTTCCCTTGTATCATGAATTAGATTTTTTTTAGGTCATATTTATGACTTTTTCTCATAAAATGTTGATTTTGACTTATCTCATAATTTTGATTTTTGTCATACTGTAATTTTGACTTTTATCTCATAATTATTTTATTTTGTGTGTGTGTGTGTGTGTGTGTGTGTGAAAATATGGTAAAATCATAAGGTATAGAAAGTCATAATTATGTCATGTATCTATCTATCTATCTATCTATACAAGTTATTATAGTTTTAAACAATATACTTTCAAAATGTCAATGTTATTAGAGAAATATGTGTATAATGTGTGTGTGTGTGTACATGCATACATACACACATATGTGTATATATATTGACTTATTAAAGCTATAATTTTATGTTTTGAAAGATACTTTCAATAATAACATGTAAGAACTATGATATATATGTATGAACTATATGAAGCACTAAACAGGAAATAATTAAATGAAGTCTGAATATATAAATGTAAATTGTTAATATATATAAGTAAATCAGAATATGTAGATGTAAGTCTGAATATATAGAAGTAAATCAGAATATATTTTTATAAATCTGAATATACAGAAGTAAATCAGAATTTATAGTTGTAAGTCTGAATATATAAAAGTGAATCAGAATATAAACATAAAAATCGTAATATGTAAATGTAAATCATGAATAGCCTATATATAACAATATACAGTTATAATTTGTATCTTTATATTCTTATATATATATATATATATATATATATATATATACACTGTATGTATATTCTGATTTACTTCTATATATTCAGACTTTAATTATTTCCTGTTTGGCGCTTCATAGAATTGGTACTGGTACTGTTGTTTCAAGGGCTAAAATCAGGTCTTGTGTGTTCTGTGGCAGATGAGCTTGGCTGTGATGTATCAAATCAATCAAAAAGATATCAAATCAATCAAAATCCAATTAAAACAACAATGTGAGGGTGAGCAAACGATCAGAGAACTTCCATGTTTTAAGATACATGGATGAACAGAAGATGAGAAGAGACTTACGGGTGAAACGGAATGAAATATTGTTTCTCTTCGTCACATTCTGTCTTTCCTTTGATGATGTCGCTGATGTCCATCACTGCCAGTAAGCACAGATATATCAGCTGTGTGTCTGTATGCTACATGCAGATCAAATGAGAGCATTCACACTGAGATTTACCAGCGACACCAAACGGCCTCCGCAGGCCCGTCGTGCATTTCTTCTGATTAGCATCTTTCAGATCCATACGGCCCACACGCACAATCTGACAGATCAGATAGATCTTCTCTCTGCCCAGGTCTTTATTCCCCAGATCCTTTAGAGAGAAAGAAAGAAAGAAAAAAGTCCTTAGGACAGGGCTATTCAATTAAAGATCCAAGAGGTCCGGTCTCTGTATTTCCTTCCCAGTGGTGGTCCGGACAATACACACACAGCTATCTAAATGGGGACATTACATTGACTTCTATTGTTTTTATATACAGATAGTTATATACTTTTTAACCTAAACCCACCCCTACCCCTCACAGAAAACTTTCTGCATTTTTACAATTTCAAAAAAACTTTGTTTACTTTATTTTTATACCAGTTTTACAAATGAGGACGTCCCCAAATGGAGGGTTTTGGCGATTTTGTCTGGTTTTGCTCAGTTTTGGGTACAAACCGTCATGTTTGTGTACCGTTACACCCCTAATATATATATATATATATATATAGGAATAGTCACACATTTCCATATTGGATATTGGGTCCTCAGAGCCAAAGGTCAGTGGCTTCTGAGAATTTTTTTATTAAAAAATAATTAAATAAATATATTCAAATAAAAAAAATCATCAGTTGAGCCCAATTAGATATGATTATTAAAAGATAAGATCAGATGTTTTATCAGGCTATTATTATTTTTTACGTTTAGATACTTATGTAAGGCAGAAGGCCATGTGACAGAAAAGATACTGTATGGGGGTTCAGAGTTTTACTCTTGAAGTCTGGAGTGTTTTTAGATTTTGCTTAAAACAAACATAATCAAACCGCTCTCATCATGTACAGAAAACACATGATTAAGTTAACTAGTAATGTCAAGTGTTCTCTGCAGTGTTTTAGCAAAAGTATCCATCTATTTTGCTGCTCACTGTGTTTCTCCTTCTGTTTAAGCATCATCTGCAGCGCTTAATGCCACTTTAGTGTCTTTGAAGAGAAGCAACGCACACGAGAAGGGCTTGAAAGATCATTACACTAAATGACCCTGAGCGCTTGTGGTTTGAACCGCTCCGTTGTTTTGAAGTGCTGCTCACTTCATTTAGAAATGGTAAAATGGTGCTGCCGTTGCCATTATGTCTCGCGGTCCGGTTGGAACCAAGCAGAGGTCCAAATCCGGACCGCGGTCCGCCATTTGAATATGCCTGCCTTGGGACATCAAAAAATCTCTATCATCACAAAAAAAGTTTCTTTGGAATATTCATGGAAAGCCCATTTTCACCATATAAGAAAAGAATCATGCTTTGGTAAATCATAATTATGAGATTAAAAAGTTGCAATTATGAGATATTAGTGAAAACTACAGCAAGACAAAAAGACGTCATAATTATTAAATAAAAATGTATGACAGTCATAATTATGAGGGGAAAAAGTTTAAAATGAGATATAATAATATAAGATATAAAAAATGTATAATATAAGTTATAATTATCCAATCAAATCAATTTATTATATAAAAAGTTATAAAAAAACATATTAGTCAAAATTACGATATGACAAAAAGTTACAATTATGACATAAAATCTCACATCATGCTATAAAATGTCAGAAATATGGAATAAAAAGTCAAATTTGTGACATGAAATGTTATAATTACGAGATCAAAGTTATAATTATGACATAAAGTCATGATTATGAGATAATTTTTACTTGTTATGCCATAATTATGATTTATGACAAAAGTGAAATTTATGACAGTAATAATTATGAGGGGAAAAAATTTATTATGACATAAAAAGTCACTTACGAGATACTAAGTCATTATGTCATTTGACTTTTTGTCATAATTTTGAATTGATTCTCAAAATGATGACATAAAAAGTCAAATTTGTGACATGAAATGTTATAATTACGAGATCAAAGTTATAATTATGACATATAAAGTCATGATTATGAGATAATTTTTACTTGTTATGCCATAATTATGATTTATGACAAAAGTGAAATTTATGACAGTAATAATTATGAGGGGAAAAAATTTATTATGACATAAAAAGTCACTTACGAGATACTAAGTCATTATGTCATTTGACTTTTTGTCATAATTTTGAATTGATTCTCAAAATGATGAGATAAAAAGTCATATATAGCATAAAAAAGTCAAATATATGACATGAAAAGTCATAATTATGAGATAGTTTTTACTTTTTATGCCATAATTGCGATTTATGACAAAAAAGTCAAATTTATGACCGTTAATTATGAGGGGGGGGAACAAATAATGACATAAAAAGTCAATTACGAGATACTAAGTCATTATTATGTAATTTGACCTTTATGTCATAATTTTGACATTTGTATCTCATAATTATGATTCACCAAAGCGGTTTTTTTTTACTCATGTGGCAGAAATGGGCTTTCATAGATACCCAAGACAGACGAGTGAAATCTGTAAGTGACTCACTGTAAAGACCACCTTCAGACTGTTGAGCATCTCAATGTCCTTGGGCAACCCTTTATCTCCCCATCGGACCAAATAATTCTCACTGCACAGACAGACAGAGACAGTGTTTGATTTATGACAAACTCCGCTTAGACTGATCATTAAAGAGTGTGTCGGTGAGACGCACCTGATGTTGGTCTGTTTGTTGGGGTCGTAAAGAGACATGAAGAGCTCCGAATCCTCACCGATACGACACACAAAGTTACGCACAAAGACATACAGGCTGTGAGTGGGAGAAGACTGGATCCGTGCGGATACTCCGGAATGATCCAGCTGAACGTTGGACTACACAGAGCAGAACAGAAGAGATGGGAGCTGGTGGTAAACAGAGTTTAAATGAACTGAAAAGCCTGACTGGTGTTAACCTGTGTAAAATTCACTACCACCATAACAGAGTCTTATTTAACACTTGCTGGGTTGCTAATGTGTTCTGTGTGGTTGCTAAGACATTGCTATGTGGTTGAGATTGAATCAGGGTGGTTCTCAGGGCATTATTGTGCAGTTGCTAGGCTATTCTGAGTGGTTGTTGTGGTACATTATGCAGTTACTAGGTGCCAAAGTGTTGCCAAGTGGTTTCTAGGGAGTCTGGGTGATTGCAAGAGTGTTCTGGCTGATTGCCAAGGTGTTGCCAAGTGGTTTCTAGGGTGTCTAGGTGGTTGCTGGGGAGTGTGGGTAACTGTTAAGCTGTTCTGAGTGGTTGCCAAAGCCTCAACAAGTGGTTTCTAAGGTGTCTGGGTGGTTGCTGTGGTATATTATGCAGTTGCTAGGGAGTCTGGGTGATTGATAGGGTGTTCTTGGTGGTTGCCAAGGTGGTGCCAAGTGGTTTCTAGGGTGTCTAGGTGGTTGCTGGGGAGTCTGGGTAATTGTTAATGTGTTCTGAGTGGTTGCCAAGGCGCCACCAAGTACTTTCTAAGGTGTCTGGGTGGTTGCTGTTGTATATTATGCAGTTGCTAGGGAGTCTGGGTGATTGCTAGGGTGTTCTGGGTGGTTGCCAATGTATTCCCAAGTGGTTTCTAGGGTTTCTGGGTGGTTGCTAGGGAATTCATATGCAGTTGCTAGGGTGTCATGGTAGTCACTGGGATGCTCTGGGTGGTTGCCAAGTCATTATTATACAGCTGTTGGGAGCCCGGGCAGTTGCGAATGTGTTGCTATGTTGTTGCTAGGGTGTTTTTGGAGGTTGCTAGGGCATATTATGAAGTTGGTAAGGTGTCTGGGTGTCTAGATGCTAGGTAGGCTGTTTTGTGTGGTCATGAAAGTGTTGCTAAGTGGTTGCTAGGGCATTATTATGCCGCTGCTAGGATGTCTGAGTGGTTGCTAGGGCATTATTATGCAGTTGCTAGGGTGTCTGAGTTGTTTCAAAGTTGTTGCAAAGAGGTTACCAGTGTATTATTATGCAGTTGTGAGAGTGTCTCTGTGATTGCTAGGGTGTTCTGGGTGGTTGCTAGAACATTATTATGCAACTGCTGCTAGGGTTTCTAGGCGATTACTAGGGAATCATTATGCAGTTGCTAGGGTGTCCTAGTGGTCGCCAAAGCATTAATATTCAGCTGTTGAGTGTCTAGTTAATTGTGAAAGTGTTGATAAGTGGTTGCTAGGGCAAACTGTGGTGTTGGTGGGTGTCTGAGTGGTTGCTAGGCTGTCTAGATAGGGGTCTCCAAACTCGGTTTTGTAGGGCTGGTGTCCTGCAGAGTTTAGCTCCAACTTGCCTCAACACACCAGCCTGGAAGTTTCTAGTATGCCTAGCATTGCTAAGTGGTTTCTAGGATGTCTGGGTGGTTGCTAAGGCATTGCAAAGTGGTCGCTTGGGCATTATTATTGTTTTGCTAGGGTGTCTGGGTGGTTGCTAGGGCATTATTTTGCAGTTGCTAGGGTGTGTGGCTGGTTGCAATGGCGTTGCTAAGTGGTTGCTAGGGCATTAGTATGCAGATCCTATGGAGTTCTGGGTGACGAATTATTTTAATGAAGTTGATCCATCTCAGGTGAGGTCATTAAGCTACTCCAGTGGGGTTACAGGAGGATATTCAGCATGAATTCACAGCAGAACCAGACTGAAGGAAGGTAAAACTATGGGAGTTCATTGATTTCGTTTGTTCAGTCATCCCGAACATCTAAAAACGTCTCATTAAAACTATAAACTCGCTTTCTGATGCTTGAACATGCAAGGAGGTTTCATTCTCAGGGTTCATCTGCAAACCATTAAATGAAAGTGAAATGAAAACCTGTTCCTCTTTAATGCGCTCTGTGATCTTGGCCGTAGCGTCCTCGTGTGCTCTGAAGAGGCTGATGACGCTTGCGCGCTCTGGGTCTAGAATATTCCCATTGGTGTCCCGTACCACCACATCCAGCTCCAAGATCCTGGAGGCAGAATAACGCTTAATTTGACTTGGAGTTTGACTGTTTGTACTCACACACACATCTAATTCACATGATAATTCAGTGCACACACACAGATCCTTGAAATTATCTGACAGATGTGCTCTTGCCCGGAGCTCTGCTGGAGAAGCGTGAGTCCCAAGATGCACCTTAGACGTGACTTCCTACATTTCAAGACTCATTCTTGCACATCACAGAAAGCAACATCCCAGCAGAAGCCCACAGCTGACATGGATTCACACGTATTTTTTTTCACATGATCATTATTCTCAAGAAGTAATCTGTCAGTTTAATGAATTAATACACAGTATTCTGTGTTATTTTAGTATTATTTATATACTATTATAGATTTATTTATTTTTTTACATTTTGAATTGGCTTTTATTTTACATTTTAATTTTTCATTTTAATATTATTTACATTTTTTGTCACTTTCTTATGTAATTTCGTAATTTTAAATTGGTTTTTGTTTTTTTTTAATATTACAAATTTATTTGTATTCCAGTTTTAGTTTAAGTCATAGTTTGTTCTTATTTTCAGGGAATAATTTTAGTGCTTTATTTTAAACTCATTTACATTTTTCATCTAAATTTTCCTTAGTTTTACATTTTTCATCTGTATCTTATTTAATTTCAGTTTCATTTCAACAAAATGTTTTTAGTATTTAGTTAACAATCATAACACTGGGATATTATATTCAAAATATTGAAATGTTTGTATTTGTATCAAAAATTTGTATAATGTCACTAGGCAAAATCTTACATTATATGAGTAATTTTATTTCATGACAAACAATATATATCAAAATAAAAGTAATTTTTGCAGGAACTAAGAGGTTGTTACAATGCCAAAAGTGTTAGATAATTTTAGAAATTTCACAATTCTCTATATTAATTTAATATCACAACAAAAACTAATACTAGCCTAGCTAATTTAAGTTCTCAAGCTTATCGAAGACAATTAAACATTCAGTAATGAAATAAGAACAAAGAAACTAATTACAAGAAACAGCACAAGAAAATACAACAACAAAAACAAAATGAAATCAAAAGCACTGTAAGTATTTTCTTTCCCAAATGTTTACACTGAGGACACTAATATTGGATATATAACTCATTATCTTGAGAAAACAATAATTAACTTGTAATCATGTGAAAACAGACCAAGAAATAGATCTGAATCCATGACAAGTGGTGAGGGAGTTTTTCCTCACAGTAATTCATTAATGTTCAGGTGTCAGAAAGACATTTTTATACCCTTCAGGTTTGTTAATTAATTCCTTAATGTTAATGTACAAATTAACTAATCCATTAACAACAGCCTAGAGCAAATCACTGAAGTTCTGCAGAGGAATTATACCAGCCGACTGGATCATATTATTCTCTGCTTTATCAGATGTGTGTTTGCACTATGGTACAATGATGATACCAGATGATAATACCATAGTACTGTATGATTACATTCATATACTATGAATTAGGATATGAATGTATGCATGATTTATATTACCATAGTAAAAAATGCACACAGACACCAACACAAGTGGAACAGACATTCGAAATACGTACTTATTTCCGTAGTCGATCTTTGAGGTGACTTTCTGTTTGAGCTCCTTGAACTCGTCACTCGGCAGCGTCCCGGACAGGAGCTGTGAACGCCACTCCATCAGATCCCACATCAGCCGCTGCACCTGACTGAAACGCTCCTTCTTACTGGACTGATGGAAAAAAAGACAAGCACTGATTGGTCAGAAGTTCAGGTCATGCACATTTAACAGAGTTATTATTTTGGATGTTTCACTTGGAAGTGACACATCCAGCAGTATATATCATGACTTCATACTACAGTATGTATAATTGACAGAGTGACGTCCAGTTATCCTGTCTGAAATTAATATTTTAATTATTTCATTTTATATATATATATATATATATATACATTTAAAATTTAAACATTTAAATTATATATATATTTAATATATATAATAATTTTATTAAAATTTTAAGTTTTCAAAAAGACAAACATTTTGTTCTGAGGAATGGTTCACAATAAGACCAGGAAGTAAACTCTGTCACTTCTGATTTCATTTTGACTTTAAGCGTCGTCCTTGTTGTCACTTCATACATCACACTGAGAACAGAAGGTCACTTTGTGGCATATAGTATGTCACGTACTGTAATGTGCTTCATGCTCTACACTGCACATTCTGTCAGGTCATGCAATTCAGAAAACTCCCATACTGAGCACAGTAGGCATACTGCAAAAGTAATATCACTACACTCTTAAAGGTCTCCTGAAATGCTTAGAAACACGCAGCGTTACTCTATGTGTTGACGTCATTTTAACTGAAACAGGAAGACAGGGCGGGAACATATCAAGCAGCCCCGCCCCTTTTTAAAATAGAGACATCGGGACTTTAAAAAGTCCTGTTTGTTAAGAAATAAAAAGACATAAATAGACATGAAAAGGCAAAAACAGTGGGATTTGTGTTTTAATCACAAATCAATTTTAATTTTTTATATCAAACTTTATATAAAGACGATTCTCAACTACGTTATGAAAGATATTTTTAAAAAACATTTTTCTTTATGCAAAATGTGTGTAAAATGGCCATAAACAAGTTTTTCCATTATATACAATGTATCTATAAACTGTATCTAATTTGCATATTAATGTGTTTTTGGGGCAACATAGAATGAACAAATAAGTGCAATAATGGGAGTAATAATAAGCAAGATTTTCATAATAATATTTAATATTTAATAGGAATATTGATATATAATTTTTTCTCTATTCATTTGTTGTGTCTCCCAAAATGTGTAATAAACATGCTTTATTAATGTATGAAATCAACGTCCTGTTTCATAACAGAAGGTCATATTTTGATTTGAAACCCCATAACATTTTCCTGAGATGTTGATTTATGACAAACAATTTGAAAATTAGTCAGATTTAAATGATAATTACTAAATATTATCATATTTCCATCCCAAAAAAACTTTAATTTTGATTTCATGGGGACTTTAAAAATAAAGATTCCAAAAAGAGTTTTTATCCATTTTTCAATGGCGGCTCGTCGGGGGAGGCAGGGGAGGCACAGCTTCCCCAACATTTTGAGATGAAAATGGGAGGAGGATGATTCAATGTTAATAAAATTCACAATTCATTTCAGTTCATGTCTCAGAAT